CCATAGCATCAGTGATGAATGAGTTGTCCTGATGCTCAGCTGGGCAGGACCCTTGAAGGGCAAGGTGTCTCTCTTAGACAGGCGAGGTTTCTTATAGGCCACAGTTTCTCAGCTGGATGGGTTAGTCCACTGCTGGGCTAGTTGAAACAGGTCACTTGGCTGCTGAGCTAGCTCCTAATTGTGCTCCGCTGGTGTTCTGACTAGACGGGCAGGTTGATCAGCTCCTGAGCAGAGGTTGCAATACTGTGCAGGTGCATTATTCTGCCACTAGGGGGCTGCTGCTCCATCTGGGCTGGGCAGGTTGCTCATCCCCTGGGCTTTTCACAGGGTGTGTGGGGCGTCGTGGCTGGATGCGTCTTGCTCTATTTTAGGCAGCCGCACTACTGTGTGGTATTCTCTCCCTTCAGTTAGAGCAGGGGTAGGGAATCTGCAACCTTAAGGCCACATGTGGTTAGACTAGTGTTCAGTTGGAGTGCTACTGTGCACTTTCAGCTAGGTCAAATGACACTTATTCGAGGACTGGCAGAAACCTCCCCTTTTTAAAATTTCCTCACAGTTTTAGCTCTGAGGTTCATCACCTCTAGGAAGAAGTTGGGAGATGTCCAGCCCTGTCTAGTTAGTCAATTTTGCCTGGGTCAGAGTCAGACTCTGCCTATACTTAAGAAGATCTGCCAAGTTGCCTTTCTCAGACTCCTGTTAAGTCTTTTGAGTGGCTGGGTACAAAGGTAATGAAAAGGTATATATGCCCTAGAGAAAGTTTATTGTTTTACTGGCTTCTGAGCTAGTCAACCCTAAGATGCTTTTTGAGGAATGGAAAATCATCATAGCATCTTTACATTTCAATGCCTGTCTTTTTGCCCCCACTAACTTTCACCTTTGTTGAAATGCAGATGGAACCCAGCAACCCCATAAAGTGATATCTAGAAAACTAGGGAAGAGATGAGAAAGTTCTACAGAACTTTTATCAAAAGTAAAAGAATGGACAGCAGGTGGGAGAGTTGGAGGTTCAAGTATTGGACTGTGCTTCTAGGCAGTGAGAGTTGAATCTCATATATTTGAACTCCTAATTGGGATAAACCAAAATAGGCTCAACGAATTAAACAAATGGACCCAATGGCTAGTTATTAGTTGATGTTAGAAGGGAAGTCTCCAGAGGTGTGTTACAAGGCTCTGTCCAGTTCAGTATTTTTGTCAGTGATGTAGATGAAGGTCTCATGCTAACTAAGGGTTAACTAACTAAGGCTAGGTAAGGACAAGAGAAGTAGAGTTCAAAAAGACCTCCATAGACTAGAATGGTGGATCAAAAGTATCAGCATACAATTTAATAGAAACAAAAAGAAAATCTAACACGTTCAAAATATTGCACAAGTGAAGATAAAGACCTGATCTAGTGTTGCTTCATGTGAAAAAGACCTAGGATTTTTATTTGACTGCATACTGAGTCAAAACATTTACCTGGCTGCCAAAACAAAAACAAAACTAAAACCCAACACGATCATAGGCTAGAGTAACAGAAGTGCCGTTCAGAACCAGAGAGGTCCTTAGTCCCACTATTTTTTTGTTGTCGCTCAGTCATGTCCAATAGTACATGACCCCATGGACCACTGCACGGCCTTTCTGATGCAGTTTTGGGTTTGCTGGGAACCCTGAAAAGTCAGGGTACAGGGCAGTATCGTCTTGGAAAGAATTCATGCACTCAAACCTTCTTCCAGTCAAAATGACAATATTCATTGTAACACCAGTAGAAGAGGGCATAGTTCCTAGAGAATCTGCAACTTAACAGAGGTGAAACTGATATTTACATACAAAAAAAAAAGGGACAGTGAAAAGCCTGGTGTGGGCCAGGTGCAATAGCAAAAGGAGTGTTAAATAGTCTGGGGTGGGCCAGATTCCTTGGGCAAGACTCCAGTGATCTAGGCTGCTGAAATGTATGGCAAAATTCAGGGGCTGGGTTGTTTTCAAAGCTATGGTCTTTTCCTTTTAGGGCTCCAGGTCCCATCACTCCATCACTTAAATCCTCCACTATCTCTCAAAGTCTGTCCAAGTTCATGTTCCTTGTTTCCATGACATTATCTATCCATCTTATCCTCTGTGGTCCTCTTTTCCTTTTGCCTTCAATATTTCCCAGCATCAGGGTCTTTTCCAATGAATCCTGTCTTCTCATTATGTGGCCAAAGTATTCAAGCTTCAATTTCAGTATTTGACCTTTCAGTGCATAGCCTGAATTTATTTCTTTAAGTCTTGACTGATTTGATCTTGCTGTCCAAGGGATTCTCAAAAATCTTCTCTAGCACCACAATTTGAAAGCATTGATTTTTCAGGGTTCAGCTTTCCATATAGTCCATCTCGAACAGCCATACATTGCTATTGGAAAAACCATAGCTTTGTCTATACGGATCTTTGTTGGCAAGGTGAGGTCTGCTTTTCAGTATGCCATCCAGATTGCCATGGCTTTCCTTCCAAGGAGCGTCTTTTAATTTCATGGCTGCAGTAGCTGTCTGTAGTGATCTCTGAACCCAAGAACATTAACTCTGACACTGCTTCCATTTCTTCTCTCCCTCTATTTGCCAGGAAGTGAGGGGACCAGTTGCCAAGATCTTAGTTTTTTTTGATGTTAAGCTTCAAGCCAGCATTTACTCGCTATGCTTGTTAGGTCTCATTTGTGGTATCAAGTTCAGTAATGTGTTAGAAGAAAATCTTTGTTCCAACCTTTGCCCTCAATAACAGAGCAAACAGAGAAAACTAGGAGTTTATTGTAGCATCCAAGGCAAAAATGTGCTGAATATGGCCAGGCAATGATTTCAAACACACATGCTTTTATAGACAACGTTTTGTAATAAGAGAAAGAAAATATGGATAGGTACACATTTCCAAAAAGGGACAAGCCATTAAATCTCAGGCCTTCCCCCATTCCCACATCATAGGGAAATGGGATTAGAGATGAAGAGGCATGTGGCTACTTGCTGGCTAGCAGGCAATAAAAAGAACCAGAGGAAAGGATCAAAGTATATGCCTTCTCTCCCTGTGGACTGGTGAATACTTCTTCCAATTGACTGGTTAACACGTACCTAGAAGACAAGCAAGACCGGAAACAACTGAGACTGACTCAGCACAGATTTCAATAAATAGGAGCCACTTTTTAAGAGAAAGATTGATAAAATGAAATGTGACAAGGATGCTGAGGGGAGTCTTACAACCATGCTATATGAAGAAGGGCAGTATATTTATAAAGCCTAGAGCAGAAAAGACATGGAAATAACTTCAAATATTTGAAAAGCTGATCTTTATAATATCTGAACATCCTGTTTTAGACTGCTATACTCTGGTACTTCAGAATGAAGTACTAAACTTTGAGTCAAAAGACCTGGGTTCAAATCTCAATCCTGTTATTCACTACCTTGGTAACCTTGGGCAGGTTACTTTTTTACCATTCTGGGTCTCATTTTTCTCAATCATGAAATTATTGAGTTAGATTAGATGGTCTCTAAGGTCCTCTTTAGCTCTAATGTGCTGTGATTTGATTCTGTCACATGAAAGAGAGTTTGGGTTTACTCTGTGTTATTCTAGAGAACTAGGACCTTAGGATAGAATTTACAAGGCTGAAGATTTGGTTTTACCATAAATAATGGTTGCTTAACAATATGAGCTGTCATCTAATTGTTATCTGTCAACCAGGCAGCCAGGTGGTACAATGGATAAGTCAGGAAGACCAGAGGTCAAATCTGACCTTATTAGCTTACTTTACTTACTAGTTTCGTGACTCTGGGCAAGTCACTTAAGCTGTCTGCCTCAACTGTAAAACGGGTTAATAATAATACCCACTTCCCAGGGTGGTTGTGAGGATCCAGTCAGGTAATATATGTAAAGGCAGGCGCATACTAAATATTTGTTTTGTTTCTTCCTTCCCATCAATCAACAGATGACTACATGACAACTTCTTTGTCAGTGGCCCCTCCAGGGAAACAATGCCTGCACTGGGTAGAAGGTTGTATGAGATGACCTCTAAGGTCCCCTCAAATTCTTAATATTCAATGATTTTTTTTTTAACAAATTCATGTACCTGTTTCTCCTTTACCTGTTTACCTTTTCCCATTCCACTGCCTTCTACAATGTCACCTATTACCGTGTCTGTTTCTATCCTATTCCATTTTCCCCCCAGTTGGGGGGGGTGGGGCAGGAGTAACCATATTCTTCCCTATCATCCCAGGCACCCAGTTTTCTTTTCTCTTGTATTCCTTTTTGTTTCATTGACTGACTCTCTCGCAGCCATAAAGGGAGTCACTTGGGAGCGCCTCCCCTCTAATCCCCCAGCCACTTTCTTGCTTTTACAGGTCCTCATCTCCCTCATCCCCCCTCCCACCCTGTCAAGGATAGGATAGGTCCTCATCCTTCATCCCTCCACCCACCCCCCAATTTCTAGTCTCGCGGAATCTCGCGACAGCTTCCCGCCAAGCGGACCCTTGCCTCGGTCCGCTTGAGCCGCTGCGGCAGCTGCAAGAGTAGCGGCGGCGGCGGCAGCATTAGCAGCAGCAGCGTCATTAGCAGCAGCTGCGGCAGCGGCGGCAGCGGCCGCAGCTGGAGGGGGCCGAGCCCGCATGCTCCAGCCGGCGCCTCGAGGGCGTGCGTAGCCTCGAGGGCGTGCATGCCTGTGCGCGCGCGGGGGCGGCCTCTGCAGCCCTGCCCCCAGCCCCAGGCTTACCCTCCCGGGAGTCCTGGGGCTTTAATGCACAGACGCTGACTTGACGTTTGCCACCCCCTTTCCCTCCGCCCCTTTCCTACCCCTCCCAATCCTAGCCCAGCCCTGGCGGAGCCGGAGCCGGAGCCGGAGCAGGAGCGGAGCCTCCCCGGCAGGCGGAGCCGCAGGAGTAGAAGCTAGAGCCGCGGAGCTGCGGTTTGGAGGAGGTGAGGGCTGGGTGGCTGCCGCCGCTGCCGCTGCCGCTTCTTCTTCTTCTTCTTCTTCTTCTTCTTTTTTTTTTTTTTTTTGCAATTTCCATTTGAAGGGAGCAGGAAACACGGCGCAGCTGAGCGTAGCCAGCCACGATGCACCAGCAGCAGTGGCAGCAGCAGCAGCAGCAGCCGCCCCGGGGTAGCAGCAGCAGCAGCAGCGGCAGCAATAGCACCACCACCACCAACAGGAGCAGCGGCAGCAGCGGGAGGCCCTGAGAAGCAGGAGGAAACCAGAGAGGGGCGAGCTCCTGTCTCCACCACCACCCCTAAGTCGCCCTCCCCCGGTGCTCCCCACCTCTTGGGCCTCCAGCCCAAGCCCTCGCAGCTTACCCGGCTCTGGGGATCCCCTTACCCCCAGATCTCTCCACGCCTCGCTCTCCGCCTCCGCAAACTTTCACGCTGTTTCTGCTGCCCAGTCTGGCTTTACACCAATGGGTGAGTGCCGGGGCGGGGGCTGGGGGGTACCGGGGGAGTAGCTAGAGAGGTCTCCCCGAGGGCTTGGGGTGGAGGAGGAGGAAGAGATGGGGGGAGAGGGAAACCTAGCCATCCGTCCCCCACCCCCAGCCTGGCTGGGGGGGGAGGGGAAGAGGGGAGTCTCATGTCTGTGCCTCCTCCACCCGATCAACTTTCTGCCCTCGGTTGTCTGCCGGGTTCATCATGTTTGTCCCCCTGTTGCGCCACGGGATTTTTGTTCTGGGGGTGGGTGATCTTCTACCCATCCTCGTTATCTCCACTGCTGGCGAATTCTGGAGATGCACAAGTTAGAGAGAGAGAGAGACAGAGACTGCCAGGAGAGAGCCTTCCGAGCTGTGCAGTTTACCCAAGGTTGTTTCCTAGTCCCCTTCTTGGAGCTTGTCACTGAGTGGGGTGATGCGCAAATCTAGAGCATTGCTTTAATGCTCAAGACTAAAACATACACCCAGGTGTGCTCACTCAGGATCTAGCCAGGCTGTCGGGAAAGATACACACTTGAGCAGTTACACTCAGACAGCATTTTTTCCCTCGTTGCTGGGGCGGGGGTCCGAACACGTTCATGGTCGCATACACACTGCGTACAATCTGCTGTGCAGACAGGAAATCTGAGTGGGCGTAGGTGGGGTTTGGCATCTCAGGACCGAAGGGGGTGTGGAGGGGACAGTTGGTGATGGGGGGGAACGGGTTGTACAGTCTGCCCCTGCCTCCGAAGCGGGGTGGGTGGGGGGGCGTCTTTGGAAGGTGAGAAGTAAGGGTGGGCTCCACACCTGGGTCAGCCAAGGAAGCAGCCTTTAAGGACTCCCCTTAGGAAGTATGGGGAGCTGAAACTGACAGCTCTGAAATCCTGAAGGTTTCCAGGATCCTCAGTTTCCTTCGCCTGTTAGACGTGTCTGAGAAAAGAGGACCAGTAATGCTTTTTGCTTCTCCTTTTGCCAGGAAGACCCCGGAGAACTGAAGGAAGATGTATTTTAGGGAGGATGAGGGGGGCGTGGTTCACTTTTTTTGGGAAGAGTTTTCCCTATCTGTCCTCCTCCCCCTCTTTTCCTGCCTTGGAACCATTCCCTTGCTGGCTGGTGATGGAGCCGGTTTAAATACCGAGGAAGCTAAGCCTCAGCATGCTGCTGGCCATTTAAACCCCACGCTGGTTGGCTGCTTTCATCCTGGGAGCCTGCGGCAGCTTTCAGAAAAGGACAGCTCTGGGAGCGCCTCCTGTTTGCACCCAGTCGCCCATAGATGGTTCAAATGAATGAATCCTAAACAGAGGGCACAGGGTTGTTGGGGGAGGGAGCTGTGTTTGACAGTGGCATCGCTGACGGCTCCAAAGTGTACCCACAGGCTGCCAGCTCCTGATGGGCCAGTCTGGGATCTGATGTAGCATATGTCTGTGGAACGGCATCTCTTTGTGTACAGTCAAGGCATCTGTGTTCTCTCCTTCTCTGTTGCTGAGGCCACTATATTTGTCACAAAAGGAATTTTAGAGCTGGGAACCTTAGAGATCATCTAATCCAACTCATCTCGTTTAATAACAGGGGAAACTGAGGCCAACCCCAGATTCCCTCTATTTCTCCAAACGGGGCAATCTCATCACACCTTAATTTTGAAGGGCAACTTTGTAGGATACCCCCTTCCCCCAAACCCCTGTTTTTGTAGGTTGAAGGCTGAAACAGGCTAATCTGTTTTCATTATACTCAATAAAGACTGCCTTTTATGGTAGCAACAAAACATTTAAGCAAATAGTTTGCCCTTTTGGCACTGAAATCTTCAACCCAGTTTAGTGTCTCAGAGTGAACTAGAGATGGTACCTATTTAGCTCATTGACTGAGATTGTGTTGACTAACAGTGTGTTTGCTGGGACAGGCCTATTAAACATTTTGGTGTTCAGTATAGTCAGACTTTTCATGACTCCATTTGGGGTTTTCTTGGTACATATATGGGGAATGGTTTGCCGTTTCCTCTCCAGCTCATTTTACAGCTAAGGAAACTGAGGCAAATGGGGTGAAGTGACTTAGGCCAGGGTCACACAGCTAGTAGGTATTTGAGGCCGGATTTGACCTCAGGAAGGTGAGTCTTCCTGATTCCAGGCCCAACACTGTATCCACTTCACTACCTAGCTGCTCCAGTAATAATAACTAACATCTATATAGGGCTTACTGTGAGCCAGACACTTTACAATTATTATCTCATTTGATCCTCACAACAACAATGGAAGGTAGGTGTTATTATTATCCCCATTTTACAGATGAGGAAACTGAGGCAAACAGGAGTTAAATGACTTGCCCTGAGTCATACAGTCTGAGGCTAGATTTGAACTCTGGTCTTCCTGACTCCAGGCCCAGCATTCTACCCACTGCTCAATACCTTGCTTTTTCTTCTCTTATAGTATGATTTTGGGTCCTCTTAGGTTACTCGCTAATCTCACTTAAATGTCTGAATTAGGTTGCAGGTTATGACAAAGTAGGACCTATTAACTGAAGTTGAAAATTCAGAGACACTAATTCTATGTATTTTAGAGAAGGTAAGAGAAGTGTCTGGAGGGCAAAAGCACAACATGAGTTATTATTATTTTATTATTTCCTAAAATTATGTTTGAAGCAAGAAGACAAGGAAAGGATAGCCTCACTTCTTAGGGCAGATGGTTTAATGTTAGCAAGGGATAGAGAGAAAACAGAGCTATTTAACCCCTATTTTACTTAAATTTTTCTTTTACCTTCTGATCTGAAAGGATAGAAAAGTGTAGTTGAAAGCAGATTGAAGTCTAGAGCTAGGTAAAGAGATAATAACATAAAACTAAACATCCAGGATTACTGAAAGGACTCACAAAAGTGATTTTGGAGAGTAGAAGAAGTACTTTTGAATTGGAAGAAGGCAAATACCTCTTTAAAAAGGGAGAAAAGAGGCTTATAGAAATCAATGAACTTGATGTTGCCTAGCAAAATTCTAGATGGATTATTCTAGGGCAGGTGGATGAATATGAATGAATTAAAAACATTAATTAAGCACTTAGTTAACAGCTAAGAGTACAAATATAAAAGGCATGATAGTCCTTGCACTCAAGGAGCTTATATTTTGATGAGGGAGTCAACATATATAATAGAGTGGTAACCAGGGAGGAGAGTCTTGATTAGGAAACTAATAAAGTTTTGATTAGAAAAGTAAAGTAGGATGGTAAGTGGAGTTGTCATATCCTTTTTAAGAATAGAAGTGTTGGTGGCAGCTAGGTGGCACAGTGGATAGAGCACCGGCCCTGAAGTCAGGAGGACCTGAGTTCAAATTTGGCCTCACACCAAATATTTGACACTTACTAGCTGTGTGACCCTGGGCAAGTCACTTAACCCCAATTGCCTAAAAATTAAAAAAAAAATTTAAAAAAAAGAATAGAAGTGTTGATTGGTTTGTGATTATCTAGAAAGGGAGACAGTGATTACTGGAAACAATATGGATTCACTAAGTCATCATAGCAAACTAAGCTTGTTTTTTTTTAAGCTGCTTTTTATTGTTAGAGTAGGGAAACAGTGTAGACATTATGTATCTACTTTTTTTTTAACTAGGAATTTGACAGGTGTCTGTGCTATTCTGATGGACAAATTATATACTTTTAGAAGGATTTGGGACTAGTTGAACACTCAGAGAGCTTCCACCTTGAAGGACATCTTTATTGTCATGCCCAAGAACTTTCCTTGGCCTTGGCTCATTGAACATTTTAATCAGTGACTTAGAGATAGACCTTGAAGGAATGCTTAAGTCTGAAGGCAAATTAAAAACAACAAAGAAACCATAAAATGGCCATTGAATGAAAGAATTGAAAAGTTCTTAGGTTGTAAGAAGGGACCAAGTCTTTCATGTTTATACGTAGGAAAAATAAATGTAATGTTCCACAGCAGTTAGATTTTTTTTAATCAATTGCAAAAGTATGGTAGTTAGTACTTTTTGTGTTAATAGAAGTATACTGTCTAGAACTGGAGGACGCTAGTCCTTCTGTACATTTTCTTAGAGCTCACATTTTGAGGGAGACATTGACAAACTAGAGGTAAAGGAGGAGGAGGAGGATTGGTCAGGGAACCTGGAAACAGATGAATGAATTGGAGATTTTTAGCCTAAAAAAAGATCAGGTTTATGATAACTGTCTTCAACTAGAAGAATGATTAGACAATTCAGTACAACTCTGGAGAGTAGAACTAGGACCAATTGGTGAAAGTTACAAGGAAACAAACTTAGAGATAAATTAAGAAACTGACAAAATTGGGAACAAATAGAACTGTCTAAAAATGAAGTGGACTATGTTTAAGAGTTACTAAGTTGCCGGAGTATTTCAGCAGAAGCTATATAATCCTTTATGTAATCCTCCTCATAGTTGTTGCATTGCATTTATGACCGCTAAGGTCTCATCCTACCATGGAAGTTCTCTTGGGTAGTTGGTACAATAGGAGAACATTATCCTAAAATATCAACATGTAATGCTTCATAAAATGCATATCATACTCTGATTTGGCCTGTACAAAATGTCATTCACTCAGCTACAAGTTGCTTAATAGAAATTAAACAGAGGGAAATGGGAATGATATAGCTTTTGATACTATTGACCACCCATATGACCTATATATGTCCAGCCCTGAACTCCAATCACCCATCATCACCAGACTGCACAGAGGAGGCAGTGTGGTAGAGTAGAAAGAGCACTGGTACTGAAGTCAGAGGACATGGGTTCAAATTCTGCCTTGGATGCTTGTTTTGTGAGTTTTGGTGAGTCACTGAAACTCTCTGGGCCTTAGTTTCTTCATCTGTTAGAACGAGAGGAAGAAGCTTGGACTAGATGACCTCTTAAAGGTTCTTAATCCTTTGTCCTGTTGTGGAACCCTTTGGAAGTCTTGTGAAACCCAAGGGTAGTTAGGTAGTAGAGCATTGGGCTTGAAGTCAGGAAGACTCATCTTCCTGAATTCAAATCTGGCCTCAGATGCTTAGTT